GTTGTTTGGACCAGACCGACTCGTGACTTGACGAGGCTGATAATTACACGAGGCTCGTGTAATTAAGCTTTTAGTGTAAAAAGTTCGGTATCGATTTGGAAAAAAGATGGGACTATTTAGGACAAATTACCAGCTTTTGACAACGCAGAGATAATATAGAAAATAACTCTAAATTATTTTCTATATTATCTCGATAATATAGAAAATAATTTAGAGAATAAGCTTCCCATATCAAAGTGATGTAAAACCAAAGTAGCAACTAATCAAAATAACAAGTAGATTTCACGCTTAAAAAACAGCTAATTCTATTGAAAATAAAAGAAATGTCTTTCTGGTATATAGACATAGCCAACAAAATAATAGCTGGTGACCATACATCATACACAATCGCACATCTAAATAAACGACCACAAACTCAAAGACAGGTTGTGATAAAAGAGATTTATCGTCACATAGATAAAGCTATCTTCGGCATTTATTTATGATGAATTAAATTGGTCATATACAGTTAACATTGAAACTAACAATTACATGTAACAAATTCGGTTGATGTGATTGAAACTTATCAAAGGCAGTGATTAATTCTCAGATGAGTTATCAAAGTAATATAGTACTACAACAATGGTAGACATTTTTTTTATCGTATCGAGAGGAAACAAAGGCAATCATCAATTTTTTACGAATTAATTATAAATAAATTTAAATATATTTCTTTGTGATCGCAGATTATTTATCTTCTCTTAAAAAAATTAATCCTTGTTTGTATCAAATTTCCCATATAAATTATCGAGTTTATAAATCTTTATTTTAATTGAGTAATTTATTAATTGGTTCTATCGTAACATTCGGTCGATTCTGTCATTTGTAAGCAAAAGCGATGGCAATTTGCGGATTTATTTAGAGGTTGTTTTAAAAATAAATGAATGCAATGAATCATATTAATCAGAGATTTTGTTCTATAATAAAATTATTGACACTTCTTAAGAATTCAATTTGCACGAGTTAGGCTCAGTATTATTTATGTATTTCTAATTGACAGCATCGATCTTGGATTAAAACCTGAAATTAAATTAAATCGGGAGAAATGAGAAATCGGATTTAAGATTAAAGATTGTTTTATAAAATTAAATAAAAATAAGTATAAGGTAGCACCAGGTAAAAAACAATAATATATGTTATTTTTTGGCCTGAATATCAAGTTGTCGTTAATAACTTATAAATCATGTCTAAAAGTGAGATAGCCGATGGAACAGAAATAAGTAGCGCAGAAACTCTAAATTTAGTTGAATGGTAATGGCAAAATGAGTCTTGCAGGATCTTAATCGAAACCCTACCATATGGGCAACCTAATAAAACCACATATTGTAATCTGATTAATTCTTATTTTTCATTGACATTCCTAGATATCCAATAAATTTCAATAAATCTAAAAGTAAATAATTGAAGAAGAAGTATTAATAATGCAAAATTTTAATTAAAATTTATATTTTTTAGTTAACAATGAAAAAATGAATTGGAACAAAAGCGACGGCGAAACGATGAGGAAATGAAATAACATCAAACGTCGGTTAAAAAAAATTATATATTTATAATCGTTCGTGAATGACCCACGAATACTAAATAATGATTTAAAATCTAAATTTTCAATTAAATCGGATGATTATGTTGCATTGTTTTTTAGGCATGTTGCCCAATTGAAGTATTTGAACCCCCTTGATGAAATTAGTGTAACAATTAAATCAAGAATTCAGTTGGAAGCAGATACTTATGATTGATGTTGGGTGGAAACAGTGTAAACGACGATACTTTTCTCAACTTTTAAAAAGTATTTAATATAATTAAAATTTGTTTGCAAAAATTTGCAAAAGAAAGCAAAAATTTAAGAGAAATAAGTCAAGCAAAAAAAACTTGACTCAGATCATCTTTGAAGCACAAATTGATGCAAAATTTGCCGAAATCACACAATTGCAAAAAGCGAGAAGAAGAAACCAATAATCAATCCAGACTCAAGTAAAGAACATACTCCTCCAAGTGAAATTATGGCATTGATTAAAAGCAATTCTGAAACTAAAGCTTTATACAATAAATTGTTTAATAATAACTGTTTACTAACAATTTATATACGATATCAACGTAGGAGAAAAAGATATGTGGAGGGTTATCAGAAGATTACTACAACAGTCAAATGAAATTGCAATTATTATGGAAAACGGAAAAGTTTGTTCCACCGATTAGTAAAACGGCCATAAATTTCGCAGAACATCTACAGCTTGGCAAATCTACCTTGGTCGGTGAAGGTCAGGTGCGCCGTAGTAAATTACTTGCGGAGCTCAATTCTCTGCTATATTGCACAGAGTGAAGATTATGAAATAATAAGCAATTTAAATTAAATTTATTTAGTGTTTAATATAAAGATGTTAAACAATCGTATCTCAAGAACGAATGGAGATATCATCATGAAATAAAGAGCACTTTAAAGCAAATTTGAAGTAGATTTAATGTGCCATAAATAATTTTTTATTTTCCACAAACATCGTTCTTATGATTTTTTAAACCCATCTTTATATGTTTGATTATTCTAAACTTTGAGAACAGATGTTAAAAAAATCACGTCTCAAAAACTAATTGAGATATTATCATGAAATAGAAAGCAATTTAAAGTAAATTTATTTAGTATTTAATATACTGAAGATCATTTCTTGGAATCTTCAAATTTTGGAATTATGATTTTTTGATTACAACCTTGCATAACTGTAGTATTACGATTTATGTACTAAATTCTTGGCGATCGTGTAGGTATAACACGGTAGTTGATATCTGAAGTTTACTTATCTCATTTCAGCGATTTATTGATGCACTATTTCTTCTGCGCAACTGACAGGCCAAGATGGATTTGGCAAGTTGTAACTAAGCACATACTTACTTAAGCATATACTTCCTATTCAAAAAGTGCTCACCACATCATTTCTATTATGTAAGATAATATGTGCACCAACGTTTACCACCTAGTGAGATTACGAAGCCAATATCACCCAAGGAGTTCCACTAAATAATAAAATCTTTACTAAAGAAAAAGTCATGACGTTATAACAACTTGTATGCTAATGAATCTCTCGCGTAAATACTCTGCCTACAATACATACTTAAAGATCGAATACTTTCCAAAAATATGTTTACATTTTTTTTATTTCATAATCCTGATAAAAACAAATTCTGATTGGAAAGCTATAAACCAATCAGTCTGCTATGTACTCTGTCAAAACTTTTAGAAAAGATGATACAAATAAGATTACCTGGCGAACTAAGCGAACATGAGATTTTACCGCCCTTTCAGTTCGGCTTCAAACAAGGACACTCAACAAGCCATCAACTCGAGAGATTAGAGGATTGTTTTAAAAATGAAATGTACACAATGGCTCTGTTTCTGAATACCACGCAAACTTTTGATTGAATATGGTTACATTTTAGAATACCTCAATCATTTTATCGTTCCTGACAAATAGAATCTTCTCTGCCGAACTTTATAATCATATTTCCTACAAATCACCAATTAGAGCAGGTGTTCTAAAGATATTTCCTTTAAAGTATCTTAGAGTACACCTAGACACAAGACTGACTTGGAAATTTTGTATCAACCTGAATCTAAATCAAGATTATGGAAGACTGGCAGAACAATATAACCTCATAAATACGAAAGCCCCGTTTAAACCTGAATGTACTATAATACACCTCATTAATTGGTTCAATGATAATGTATCCATGAGAAATCTTGAGTACCACTGTATAATATAACTGTAAAAAGATATGTGCATTTCAAAACAAATTACTGAGGAGAGCAGTGGACGCTAAGTAGTACGCAATAATTAAACAGAATCCATAGACTTACAGCATTTAATGAAGGTTACGGAATATATTTAGGAAAAACAGGCTTCCATATTCCTTACAATATAAGTGTCCATGATGTAAGTCAAAACATAAAATGATGCATGTTGGGAAAGTCACAACATTAATATTTTTATGTTTAATTATAATTTGGGATTTAGTTCTCAACCAAAATGAACAACTTTAATCTCCTTCAACAAATGTTTCAGACAGTTTAAAACAGTTGCAACGTGGCAAATATTTTATCATTGAAATTTTGAATTTTGTTTAAAAAACTGGTCCTGCTCGTGATGCATCATTGGCACAAAGTGAAAGTTATATTCTGGACAGACTTTTAAATGATTCTCTTCCACATAAACCTACAGTTCATTTTTCAGTAAAACCTGAAATATCTAAATATTGTCAGGAGTGGCTACAGTTACAAATAATTAAATTAATTGCATAATATTATAACTAGAACATTACTAATCCTTTATCATTGCTACGTTAAGCTCAAACAAATCTTAGTACATCCCGAAACAAACCCCAAGTAGGTACTAAAAAATATTTCTATCCCTCATAAAACACTGGATCCTTATATGATTAAGGAAATCGAAATTATTTCAAAAAGCAATAAAAATAAAAAACTTTTCCAATTTTAAAGAAATACAAAGAATTGAACATTGAAATTTATTATAATTTTATAAATGGATAGGTTAACTAAAAAAATGATTAAACAAAGTGTTCACATCAACTTGTAACCGATGCGTTTTGATGGTGTAATTACAGAGAGATGGATTGTTGATGCATTAAAAGCTTGTACACGTCCGACGCGTCACGAAATTTATATTCGCTATATACAACAAAAACACACGCGCAAAAAGTTAACAAGTGCAACCTGTTGCTCGTTTAATCAAGTCGTTTAAACTTTTTGAATAAAAAAAGATTTTCAAGTTTTCGGCGGGAAAAACAGCGCTTAGTTATCTTGGCATTCGCTTAAACACAAGACGTATGCGATATGAATTAAAGCTTAGAATGAGGCAAGAAACAGGCTAAAGCACACGTGGTTGAGTTGAATGAGTAAATTAAGTAAGCGGCGTTGTTGTTTAAGTGTATTAATTGTATCACGTTTGACTCACCTTATCGTCAAAAAAAAGCTCTTCGCGCGAAGAATAGGAAAAAAAGGTTGGACGTAGGTGCGGTTGTCGTACGGACAAGTCGATGGCCGAAGTCAATAGTGTATCACTCCATCTATTTGTTCACTTAGTCACACAATGCGAGAGAGCTAAGCCCCGGGTACTTAGTGTAGATAAAACCGGGAGTTTAGCGCAAATCGGTTTACAGTGGATTCCTAACTATATACACGCTCCTAATACGAAAGCTGTATTAAATAAGTAGAATTGATCCTAACTTTTCGTTCCGTGGCGCGGCCACGCCCCCAGGACGCGACGCGCCGAACCATCACGACGCGCGCACCGTTCTAGATAAGGACCGAGTGCAGGAGCAGGAGAGCGACGCGTGCGACGCCCTGCAGGCGCCGCCACCATCGTGCTAAACTTCGTTGTCCGTTTCGTTCTCACAAAACCACCGACTCCCCAAATCAAACCAGAAGATGGACTTTCACCAATATTAAACGCAAATGGGCCATTTCGAAAAAGATTTGCAAAAAAGACGTATGCAGGAAAAATTTTATTGCCAATGATAATGAAAATTTTATTAAGAATAATGACATGGATTCACGTTAATGCGACAAAGTTCGATTCAGTTTCACAGAAAGAGAATCCATTGCAGATTCAACCGAAAGGGTTTACTCAAATCTTACATAATAAATAATTAACCTTCGTTTGACTGAAACTTTGTGGATTCTTCTAAAATGCTGTGCTTTAATTACAGTTCAAATTGTATTTTGTTGCTATGTTGAAAGAAAACGAGAATAGCAGATTGTGTCCATAAAGAACATAAAGATCGATTTGATTCTGGATTTTCCCTTTGGTTCCCTTTGTTTACATCTGATAAAAATTTTTAAATTATTATTAGTCTTTTGGATATAAAAGTTTGTGCAGCATTTTTGTCTGCTTTTCTGCATTATACTGTCATACAATACACCAAAAATCTGTGTAGATATTTTGGACAAACTTGTGCGTGAGTATTCATGAAACAGAAATACTCTTGTAATGATCTAGTCAAGTGTTTTGTCCATAACAGACAGAATAAAAATTTCTTCAAAATTTGGGAATGGAACTTGCTGAGGTACAAATTGATAGAAGTGGAAAGAATATTGAAGAAGTTTTACAAATTTGGAAACCACAGCTACAAAAGGTACTGGAAGAAAAATAAGTTAGTCAAGGTACTAAAAGAGATAATGTCCTCTTTAGCAGCATATGTTGTGCAATAAATTATGTCGCTTAATGTAGCAAGTTTATTAGCAGAAGACAGAAAACTTGTTCCTACACCCTAAAAGATGAGGATCTTAAGCTACAAAAACATAATAATTATAGTTACAAATAATTCCCAACAAACCTTATTCCAACGCCAAAGTAAATAAAACCATCTTTAACAAATCCTATTTGATTTTAGATATCATGATTTGGTGTATCATTGATAGACATTTTTGTCAAAAGCAAACAATTTAAAAGGCTAATAGTAAACCTTTAGAAACACCAACCTTAGAACCTAATGAAACTACCCTACCAAAATTTAAAAAATCAGTTTAAAAATGGAACAATATTTCCTCGAAATAACTTCATATTAGAGCAAAATATCTAGGCATAACTTTAGACACAAAGCCCAAACGATAGGAACACGTGAAGAAAAAACGGGCTTCAGAGTGCCATAGCTGTATTGTCTCCTAGACGACACTTCAAGATATCTACTCAAATTAAATTAATTGTGTACAACCCGATCCTTAAACCGATCTGGCTATATAGTATTCAACTGTGAGGATAGCAACATGAAAACTATGTATACGTGGTAAAATAAAAGTGCGAATTTAGTAACTGCGAATGATAGTAGATGCTGCGTGGTTCGTGTGTAATGTAAATTTTTATAACCTAACTTTACGGTTCCTTTCATCAAAGAAGAAAGTAAATGAATCGACACCCCAACATGCAGATTCAACTGTTGCTTACAACACTAGACAACTGTTGAATCTGCAACAACACTAACCTCTATCGTCCACTTAGGTGCACAAAACCCTTCGAATTCGCCTAGTGAGCGCTGAAAAGCAAAGCGCAATGTGTGGAATGACTCCTCGTATACCTTGTAGACAAACCAACGTAATGTGAAACTAGTATAAGAAGTATGAGATGTAAGTTAATGGTTAAAAGGAGTGTCAGATTTCTTTCAATTATCTAATTTATATCAGAACTTTTTCTGTCAGTGTTTCTTGAGCAGTGTCATTTATACTTGTATTACAACACATAAGAAGTACGAGTGTTTTCAAACAGCGTAGATTACTGACGCTGTTCTGCTGCCTTTCTGCACACAGTTCATTTTCAGTGTGGATGTTCTAATCTTTATTAGAAACAATCGTTATAGTGTTCTTTGTTAATCGGAGTGTTTTTGACATTTTACGGTGTGTTTTACAGTAATTTTAGAATTCCTTCTTATTGCACATCATTTGACTTTTTTTGAAAATTTTTCTTATTTTGACCTTTTTACACAAACCTCTTTATCAGGATGTATATGGATTAGCGATAAAACACAGCATGATTAGCGATGTCAAATATTTTCTTAATTTATTATTTCATTTTCTTCGGGAATTCCCGGCGCTGCTAATTTTTCATTTCTATTATTCCTGTCTCTAGCGTGTGAATGGTAAAATCCTTCCTTCTGGTTGTTTGTTTATATGTTACTTACACGTGTTATAATTCCAATTAATATTTGAATAATATATGTAACAAAAAATCAAATCATATGAAATAAAAAAATCAAAAGAATCGAATATCCGAAGTAGGTCAGTGTCTTCGACAGAACCGCTTGGAAAGCAAATACAAAGTCGTTTTAAAGTAATTATAATGCTTTATCATTGAGTATACGGCATTAAAATGGCAGAAAAGGAGCTAAAGGGGTGCATTGTTTTGGATTCAAACACATTCAGTAAGTACATCAATTTAAATGACGTAGGAGAATGCACTACAACTGAGCGCGACGTCGTTTGAGATGAAATTCACAATCAGTGATATGAAAAGAGAAAACGACCTTCTTTGTGATAATCTGGATACTTTCAATGCTTTTGCATATGACATGATGGAAATTTCCGCGCTGTCCGATTTATATATGCTGCAATATGCCGACGACACTGCACTAATAGTGCATGGGAAGAAACTTGAAACAGCCATAGTAACATTATAAGAAGCAACTAACAAAATAACTAAATGGTGCTCTCCCTGGAAAATTAATATAAACGCTTCAAAAACACAATTTCTGATACCATTCCATAGGATAACAGATAATTCTCTAACAGTATACATCAGACGGACGCAAATCAGTCCTTCAGCGAACATCAAATACCTGGGTATAATCTTTGACAGCAAAGTGAAGTTTCACATACACACAAACAAGGCTAAAATGAAAGCAATCACCAGAGCAAAGCTGTATAGAAGTTTAATCGTCCACTTAGGTGCACAAAACCTAAGCGCAATGTGTGGAATGACTCCTCGTATACATTGTAGACAAACCAACGTAATTTAAAACTAGCATAGAAGTATGAGATGTAAATTAATGGTTGAAATCTACAAGAAAGAAGGCATTAACATCAAATGCGCTGCACATATTTGTAGACCAATTTTAGAGTATGCAAGCCTATTGACATATGATAGCAAGTGATGCACACTGAGGAGTTTGGAAGTTGCCGAAAGAACAAGTCTCCGAGCAGTAACGAAAATGAGACACCCTAACAATCCGTTGCACAACATCGCAAATAAAACGCGATATGAAAAAACCGAAATAAAGCCTTTGACGGAGCGACTTCTAATTTTAGCAAACAAATCTAAGAGCAAGATAGCTGAAGAAATGTCACCCCTATTTATACAATGAGAATTCGATACTATTTACAACAGGATTGTGACAGGATAACAATATGTGGCTGATAAAATTTTAATTATTGAGATGGGGCGGAAGGACTTTGGTCGATAGCCTTTTTTAGACTTAATATAGAATGTTGTTGTTTATGTTATATATTGTTTTTAATTGTCTAAAATAAATCCATTGTCTCTCTGGATAATTTGGACTTATGTACATACCGTTACAGTATTGGTATATTCGATGTTAATGTTAATAATATAGAAGAAAAACAGAACAATTTGTAATGTAGTTAAAAAATAAATTTTTCTTTATTGCTTCCATAGCAAAAATGTATGTAAGTTCTAAAAATCAACCAGTATGGAAGTAAATATCAATATATTGAATACATTGAAACTTGAATAGCACGAAAAGATACACCATATGGTAGCCTCCTCATTTCAGCAAAGAGTATGTGCCAATAACGAATAAGGCATATAAGAGCCATATCTAATACGACCAAAAAGCTGCAAGGTGAGAGTTAAGCTTATTGGAGAACAGTTCAGTTGCGTGTCGGCTGAATAGATATCAGGGGAAGAAACGTTAATTAGAAACGGCACTTGAGATGTATAAACAAAAACAGCAGGAGTACCAAAATCGATCCCTAGAGTTCTGAGGCTCGCGGAACTTGAGTAATTACTATTTACATTTATTACATTATGTTAATCGCCACATACAAATTTTAACCAAACCATATATTAATGTTTCAGTGTAATCATTTACACCGACTAACTTACGCTAAAGTTGTTGCTAGCATTTCGTCAGACAGTATGGACATTCTAAAGTAAATGTCTTATTTTTCAAACTTATAACCTACACTATTCCATGTATAATCAAATGTACTTCGTCCAAATTTAGGTGCTTTAGCTATGGTGCTTCGTTGTTTTGGCCTTAAATATTATTGAAAGATGTTTCAGTGGTCTCATTCATCATATAATGAATGTTGTGAATCTTATACTAGTTCGTTATCTTTAAGAAAGGTGATAGGCTCCTCTGTATGAGTAACTGAAGAATCATGTTGCTAATTGTAGGATATAAGTTATTATTATTTCTAAGATGACTTAAGATGATGGTCGAGTATACGTAGGAAATCCTGGGCGAGTATCAGTTCGGCTGTACTGATCAAATGTTTGTCTTACGACAAGTACAAAAAAGCCTACGAACACAACATAGATTTAGATAGTGTTAGGATTAATAGTAGCAACCTTATCCGGTTCCAATGCTGCAGTAAGAGTTGTCGGAGAGCTAACATTTACATCTAGCATTAACAGTAGCGTGCGACAGGTTGATGCACTGTCGGCTACACTGCTTAGTCTGGTGCTGGAAGCAGCAATTATGACATCAGATACCGCTGGGTATTTTGGTTATAAAAGTTTGAGAGACCTGACAGAAAAGTAGATCGTATTGACCAGCAAAATGCAGAGGAGAGGGTTGCAACGAAGAACAATGCAGACATAGAATTCGGTGCTTACACGTTTGCAAGAGTAATTAATGACACAGAGAATCAATGGCTTAAGCTGTAATAAAATAAGATTCCCTGTCGTAAAGGGTACACGGTAAAAAATGGGTGTAAAAATACATTATACTACAATAAACTACAAGATTGACTTATGAAATGATACATGAATTAACAACGTAATTTTCGAAATCCAGTTAATACCAAGTAAAATTACAGGAAATTAGTAAATTTACAAAATATTACATTTTTTTAATATGAATTACACAAAGCAATGTAAACTATAGGGAAAACCTGTAAATAAATGGAAAATCAAGTAAAACAATGTAAATGTATTTAATAAATTGGGAAATCATGTAATATTATTAAAAATTACTATTACGAACATGTAAAAAACGGGATGGCCCCACCACCACTTTCTGCGTTCAGTCGGCCGAATAGCGTTGCAACTACGCACAACGCGTTGACATCATTGTGCCAAGTACAGTGTAATAACGTATGAATCGTCCAACGTTATACGCGCTCTCTTATAATAATAATAATAAAAAACCACTTTAATCTGTCCATTTAGTGTTTGGTTGTTTGGTGCCCTTTAGTACGTATACAGGTTGTACACAAAGTTTTTGTGTTCCAAGTTTGCCGTCTGTTAAAATTGTAAAAGTTTACACTTTTTCCACTATTCTTTTAATGCTTTTGTACTGTAAAACATTATAACAATGGTGGAAAAACTATTGGCTTTCATAATTTGGACATAAAATGAATTTGGATATGTAGAACTTCCATAATAACATTCGTATTTTTACATTTATGTAAGCTTAAAATTATGTAAATGTACAGGGCTGAACAATGAATTATTACATAGCAGACGAACTACAATATTCATAGGACAAGTAATTTTACATATAAATATAGTCATTTTCACGTGTTAATACGTGTACATTACCTGGGTTAAGAAGTAAAATTACATCAATCACAAACGAAAAGTACAAACATAGAAATGGAAAATGCGCTTGTTTAGATATGTATTTATTTTGCTATCACATACGTGTAACTTTTTACATGAATATCCATGGCAATAAATTACCAGTACTGGACCATGTAATTATTTTTTACTGTGTAACAGGTGCATTTACGAGACCTTTCTCAAATCTAGAATCTCGAGCAAAAAGGTAACATGTATGCGAAACCTGGGCCCAAACAACCATGGACGAACAACTTCTTGGTACATTTGAATAAAAAGTCCTATAGTAAATATTTAAAGCTTTACAAAATGAGGTTGATTCATGAAGTTAAAAGGCCGAATTTAATAGTCTACTTTTGAGGTAGCTTCGAATACCTCAAAAGCTGGTGCAAAAACATCTCGTTGACTACTAGGCATCACTTCTCACTATTGTCACATGACTTGATTTAAGATAACATAAACGGTGATGACTGTTTATGCAAAATCTTGTTAATCTGAGGTGTATGTCAAGATTGGAAGGAGACCACTTCACTACTACAGAAGTGTCAACCGAAAATTGTGCTCTAGTCGACTGTCACAACTTCTGTCATCTTATGATTTGCAATATAATAAGATCGAATGGAGCGAATCTCTTCAAAACATTTATGTATCGAATGTTGGTTTACAAATCGATAATTTCTGAAATGTTTATGGTCGAAGCGGTCATACCACTTTGTCTATAGACTTGGTTCGTGGAATCAATCTAATTAAAAATAATTCTTTGGCATCGTTGTAAGCTTACACTGGGATTCTTCGAAAATGATATCTAGTGACAGGATTTACGAAGGAAAGGTGGAATAAATTATTCGAAAAGTTTGCAACTCAATGGAATAGCAATTCAGGAAAGCAGTGTTTCGTAATAATCTCCAATATTCTTAACATTAGAAATCAGCGGGTTTAGTAACCTTTAGTATTTAGCAGAAATTAGACGAATTATCCTCATGTTAGATCCATAACTCGTTAATACCGTACTCATTAGTGGACGCAGTAATTTATGTGTATTAATTTCTACGTCATCACAAAGGTAATACCACCTATGGGGGTAGATGTAGTAGAGAGTGCTAATTGGTCAGATACAATATTGTGCTTTGTTGCGTTCGACATATTTCCCCGGAACGGATAATGATTATCTTCCTGTTATAACGCGTAATGAATTTGACTTCAGTTATCGCCGGTATGCAGCAACATTAATGAAAGAATCCCTTTTTCATTACTTTTTAGGCGTAAATATTACTTTGGCGTATCATAAGAGGAATTTTAAAGCAAGAAATGATAACTCTCTGGAATATAATTTTTAGCTCCGATATGGATGTAGTTTTGAAGAAGGTTGTTTTGCAGAATACAATAAAGCCTCGTTAGACTTTCATTTAGACACTTTTCCCAGGAAATCTGGTGATGACGCACTGTTGTTTCAAGATGAGTTATCATGTTTTAACATACACTCTTCATACTTTACCTGCCAACACCTCCGATTTTGAAATGTTATGTAGATCAAAATATTCACTACATAATACTGAATTATTATACTGATATACGATTAGCACCATATAGTACTATATAACATTATACATATAGCAATCATGTGTTAATGTAATTATAACTGTACTTGCTTTTACAGTTAGTGGTAAGTTATGCTGATGTTGAATTGATCTGAATTATTCATCATACTCTTAGCACCTCATTTTACTTTCAATGTAAAAAGTTTCTGTCTCTAAAAATCTCTGCACCTGTTTCAGGTTGAGTGTAATTTGAAACCTGAACTCAACCTAAATATTTCCAGGGAGTATTTTCGATTTTATACAAAATAGCCAACAGTAGATATACATACACAGTAGATATACATAGGTATACGTCATAGAGTAATCTAAAAATTGGAATCTTTTTCTCATCAAAACTCTCTGAAATGGAAAAGCTCCATTCATATTTGTTTTACTTGTTCCTACAATAATATAAATATATAAAAAATAAAATTTGGATTATTATTTAGTGTATTTTTGTGAGATACGTTAAAATTGTTGACGACGTCGCGTTAACGTCTATCTTATAAATAATAACCTGCGGACAAGTTTTGGTTTAATATCTATGTATTGGAGACGACGAAGACGTGTGGGTCGAATCCGGCGCCCTCAAAAATAATAATATCCGAAATAAACTGGACAGGTTCGTCTGTCCGTCTGTCGCTACTTAAGAATGATGGATGCGATCGGACGCGTCCGGGCCCTTTTTTATGGCTGCTGTTTAGTCTAAGACATATTTTATCGTTGCGATAATCTCCCATAAGCATTTAATGAACGGTGATTGATGCAAGTCCGTGGGTCGCGAATAATCCTCACACTTCATTTTTTTCTTTGCAGTCCCAAATTTGTTCGCCAAAACGAATCGATGCAGCTCCACCCTTCGAGACCGACGATGGGACCCTAATTTGATCTCGTTGTCACTCGATATATCCTTTGATCGTGAAATAAGCTAACAAGAGTTAAGTATATTAAATTGATAACGAATATCGCCAGGTATTTATTATTTCATTCTTATTAAAATCACGTTATTATAGAGATTATATGATTTTGTTGAAAAGTATTCAATTAAAATAATATATAAAAATAACGTTTAAAATGTGGAGTTTTACATTTAAAATATAGTCTAAGTCAAAATCAATCAGCTTTTCTATACAAAAATCCTTTACAAGGTTTCCCGACATTTCAATACAACGACCGAATGAACCGAGCGAAATCACGAATAAAAGTAAAACTGAAAATCTTCCAATCGAGTCGTCGACATCCGCTTACAACATCCATTCGATCATCCTCCGACTTTCACAACGATATCGATGTAATACTTCATAACACCGTAACTGGGATCCGATATCAAAACAAACGTGAAATACGTTCAATTACAGAATGTCTACCCAGGGGTCCTAGAACCCAGTCATTCCTAGTGGCATCGTTTTTAGCATGACCATCGGCAAACTTGGATGTAGCGAAGAGAGTTTCAGGGGGGGCGAACGTTCAGTTGGAACGTTTCAGGAAGTGGGGGAAATTGGGGAGTTTGCGACAAAAGGATCGGAGGAAGATGCAGGATAGGGGAATGATGAAAAGGGGGGAACGAATGTGTGTCTGTATTACCGCAGGAGGACAGCGTTTATCCGGAGATGCAGGGGTCCAGCATCAGGTTCCCCTTGTCCAAGGCAGGTTCGATAGCACCGCCTACCATTGTCTCAACGCCTACCGCGATGGCGCGCCTGCGTGTGTATGCGCAGGACGTATCGACCAATGTAAGGTGCGCGTGTAAAGGGGGGGCGAAGAGAGTGGAATCAATTTGGGGGAAGTGTGTCGGTGCCCCCCAGGTAGGAACGATAAGGACGAAGTATCCAGTGCCGGATTAAGGTGCGATTAATATAAGATAAAAGACAATTGGGTAGAATTTCAATTTAGGTAAAAATATATAAGTTTCCATCATCGAAATTAAATGTTCTTAGTTCTTTACTTACTGAAATTTATTACAGTATAACTTCGACATAACAGACTTCTGAAGATGCACGGCTAAACCAGAAACTTTCTAGTTCTAGATCTAGTTTTACTTGTTATTTAGTATTAGAGTGTTATATATTTTTATTGAACTAAAACTAGAATTAACACTAGATCTAAAACTAGAAACATTCGGGATTAGCCGTACGTCTCTTAAGACGACTAAACCAGAATGTTTCTAATTCTAGATCTAGTGTTAGTTCTAATTTTAGTTATTATACAGTGTTAGATTATTGTGTATTTTTCATTGAGCTAAAACTATCTATAGAGCTACTATTAAACCCGAAACTTTCTGGTTCTAGGTCTAGTGTTAGTCTAGTTTTAGTTGTTATTTAGTGCTAGATTGTTGTATATTCCTATTGAGCTGAAAGTAGAACTAACACTAGATCTAGAACTAGAAACATTCACTTTAAACGTTTTGTCAGAATTACTACTACTTTTATTTAAAAATACATCAAATGTATTTTTCAATATTTACTCTTTTCTTGTTAATTATTTTACCGAGAAATGTATGTAATCTGCCCTAACTACCGCAACGGGTCATTTTGGTAGTGATAAAAACCATTGCATTAGACATTTTTGTTATTGCATGACATATTTTGTTGTATACCGTTATATTTGTTGTTTGCTGACCAATGAATAGCGAATTTCACTCTACTCCAAGCGAACATTACAGTAAACATTTCAAATTATAGTGCTATTTTACGAGTCAAAAATTCTTATTTCATTATTTTACTAATAATTTTTATCCCAACAATGTCGAAATAATCAAGATATTTGAAATCATAGGAAATTATAAATAACATAGATGAAGAGTGTTCGAAATTTAGCGAAGAGAAACTATCTGAAAGTGAACTGGATAGTATAGAACAACATGATGACTCATTTGACACTACGGATGAATGTGAGATCTCAGGAAAAGAAAGTGAAGACGACAATATTTTGAATATACGTAGTGGACAAAAGAGAAAAAGACCGTTATCGAGTTAAAAAAATGAAAGTGATGTGGAAAACCAATGCAACGAAATTGCGAATGTACCATCATTTTGGCAAGAAATAGAACGAGGCTCAACACCTGGACGACCATCAATTTATAATATTTTTAGGGAGATTGTAGGCCCGACAGCAAATACCAAACGAAATATTATAAAGAGGAAAGTGAGAACTGCATTTTCTTTACCTTTCGAGTATGTATTAGGAATCCTACTCCTGCAAAACTAAACACATTATTGCGTTATTAAACGCGTTATTGGCTGTGACGTTTCCGATTATGACATGATGTACTGTGTGATAAGTGGATGTTCCTGAGAGTGGTCCTCTTTATAGAAATATGCGCTTGTTGAGTCACAAACAATTTTTGCTTGACCTGCAGTCCATACCATTTAATTTTATGTTTTATATGGATGATATTGATCGGAAACTTGAGTTTTTAAATGATAACATAATTGCCTTGTTTGATGCTCATGTTCCACTGAGAAATTACAAATTTACTAAACCACGCAGTCCTTCGTTGAGAGTAATATAAAGCTCTTGATGAATTTGAGGGATCACGCAAAAATGAAATTCAGGAGGACTCGCAGTAGGGCTGATTGGGATTACTACAAACCTCTGCGTAACTACACCATTGCAGCTGTGAGGAACGAAAAACGTGCTTATTTTGCTTATTTGATAGAACAAGGAAGTTCTATACAGATATGGAATGAAGTTAGAGGACTTGGGGTTATGACGGATGGCAGGGCGTTGTCCTTACCGTCGCATTTTCAGGACCCTGACCGTATTAACAGTTATTTTGTAGATAATGTAAACGATCTTGTGGATAGTTTGCCGTCTGTTAATTTGGATTTTTATAAGCATAATGCATGTCAATATCAATTTGTATTTAAAAATGTAAGTGAGGCAGAGGTGCGGTCTATTCTGGCTTCTATCACATCCGCTTCAGTTGGGTGTGATGGTATTTCCATAGGAATGTAGGTCTCTGCTGCCCGTTAATTTTGCCGTATCTGACTCATTTTCTCAATTGTTGATTTTCGGACAGTAAATTTCCTACGCTTTGGAAACAAGGGATAGTTATTCCTTTGGCAAAGGTTGACGATCCCAAGCAATTAAAAGATCTTAGACCAATAAGTATTCTTCCAACGTTATCTAAGCTGCTTGAAAAAAATATGAAGCAGCAGTTGGTGAGTTACGTGGAGAGTAATAGCTTGTTGCTTCAGGAGCAGTCTGGCTTTCGAAGTGGCTATAGTTGTACAACTGCAATGTTGCGCCTAACTGATGATATTCTTACGAACACGGACGCTGGATTGTACACTGCTGTGATCTTCCTGGATTTTTCTAAAGCATTTGATACCGTTAATCACGTGGTTTTGAGTGAGATTCTGTATGATTTGGGGCTGAGTTGACATGCGGTATCTTTGTTGGGTGACTACCTCTGTGATAGGTCTCAAAGGGTAAGGATCGGTGATGATTTGTCTCACACAGTTAGAGTTTTGAATGGTGTAGCACAGGGTTTAGTTTAGTAGACGGGTGCAATATTGTAAAGTCAATATGTATGCTGATGATATACAGTGTTATTTGTCCTTTCATGAAAATGATAAGAATCAAGCACAGATGCTTATTAATGAGGACCTGTCTACTATATTTAATATTGAAACGTTTCATAAACTAAATATTAATCCTGATAACTCTGCGTGTGTATGTTTCGGGAGAGGGAGGGCTGAACTAGGATCTTGATATTAATATAAATGGTTCAAGAATGAATGTTGTTAAGGAAGCAAAATGCCTTGGTTTAACAATAGATAACACCAGATTTAAAACTCAAATTAATATTTACATGAGAAGGTCGTATTCATGTTTAAGAAAACTTTATCCTCACCGATCGGTTCTTTCGGTAAAATTACAAAAACAGTTATGTATATGATTCTCTTGTCCTGTCTCACTTCAACTTTATGGCGCCTGTGTATCATCCAGCTATAGATGTGCTTACATCGAATCGCATACAAAAAGTTCAAAATAATTGCCTTAGGTTCACTTTTGGAATCCGGAAGTATGACAGAATCTACCACAAACTTAAAGATGTTGGGTGGCACAGAATGGATACCCGCCGAGAGTTGTACAGTTTGGTTTTGTTTCATAAAATCGTCACAACACATATACCGACACACTTGTATGAAAAAATTACTTATGAGTCCGCCTATTGCACAATGCCATTTTTTTCTTTTAGTTTTTTTGTATTGTTAGGTACTTATTTTTTTTTGATTTATTGTTGTTTAAACATTCTAGTTTAGAGTGTATCTACAGTATAGATACAATTTTTGTGATTATTATATATTTTTTTCTTTTGTTGTATTCAATAGTTTGTGTAATAAAGAAATTTATTCTTATTATTATTTATTGCTCTTTTATATGCACGTGGCGTATATCAGGCAAACAATTTGAACATCTCATATCTATGGAACAATAAATGGGATCCTGCTTTTTTTTTCAAAAACCATGAGCAGGAATGCTTTTTGTTAAATTATGCGATTTGTCAGGTTTGATAAAAAAAGTCAACGAATGCCAGCGTTTACAAACAGATAGATTTGTTCTAGTCTCTGAAGTATGGTACAAATTCATCGAGAATTGCTAAAATTGTTACAAGCCTGAGGAACATGTAACTATCGATGAATAGCTTTTCCCAACAAAAGCGCGGTGTAAGTTTCCGCAATATATGCCGAATAAACTGGATGAGTTTGGTATAAAATTCTAGCTAGCATCTGACATCAGCACCAAATACACTATAAATAGATTTCTATATTTGGGGAAAGACGAAAACTTCATCTCCGCTTGGGAAATTCGTTGTTTTCAAACTACTGGAACCGTTCACAAATTCTACAATAGTACTAAATATGGTATAGACATGACTATCAGATGACAAGAAAATAGTCCGTAAAATCGAAATCGCAAATATGACCTGCACAGATTTTCTTCAATATACTTGACCTGGCTGGAATCAACTCAAGGGTTTTATGCAGAGAAACAACCGCCGAAAAAATTTCTAGACAACAATTTTTATTTCAATTAGCTGAAAATCTTGCCGAAGATTCTCAACATGAACAACAGGAAGAAAAAGAAATACAAAAAACATCAACAAATTCAAGTTCGGATTCTCGTGTTCAAATGCGAAAAAGGTGCCAAATAGGTTTTTGCAAAAAAAAACAACACTATAAAAATCTGTTTCAAATGCAATAAATATGTGTGTGGAAAATGTGCCTTCGAGAATTCAATAATTTGCAAAATATGCGGTGAACATGAATTATTTATATTATTTATGTTTTTAAATTTAATAAGTAAACAATTTTGAAGCGTTATTTGAAATAAGTTATTTTATTCATGTACCAAATTGTGCTAAATGATATATTCTTTCGCTATACGTAGTAAGATATACAACATTTTAAAGACGGGCCACTTGACCCGCTGTGGTAGGAATAGCTATACGTAAAGTATCGGTTGTATATTTTTCATTAAACTAAAACTAGCACTAACCTAGAACTAGAAACATTCGGAAATTTTTCATACAACGGACTTTTGGCTATAACGATCACTCTCTTCGATTTTATAGTATTTATAGGATTTTCTTGTATTATGCAATAAAATTTAATAATAAAATTAAATAAAGGTTATAATAAAACATACTGTATTAATAACATCATTAAAATAGATAAAATTGGGTATTATCGTGATATTATTTTAATAAAAGAAACCATTGAAATATACGAAATATGGATAAAACCTCGAAATTATATGAATGTAGAAGAGAGATGATACGGAATGAGATAGAAAAAGGGAAAAATCTTTTGGGGCGATTTGCGTAGGCAGTGGCA